CCGGTGATTGGCCACCTGTGTGCCTTTCCTGAGCTACAGTTCTGGCGGCCAATCACCGGTGAGGAGGCGGAGCCGAGCAGCCGCACGAACATCCAGTGGCCGAACTGAAGGAGACGCCGCGCTTCCTGGACCGGATCGTCGTGGGACTGGATCCAGGTAAGAGACATCAGCCCCTGCAAACCCCTGTAAATAATGCCGCAGCCCCTCTAAACATGTGTACCGGCGTATAAGACGACCCCCGACTTTTGAGAAGATTTTCAAGGGTCAAAAAGTCGTCTTATACGCCGGCAAATACGGTAAATGGACGTCGCACGGCTCGGCGTTATTGGCAAATCCCCCCACACACGAAACGCGTAGGAGGAGCCAGGAACGCCGTGACGTCACGCCACCGGAGCATCGTGGAGCTCCGGCGGCCATCTTTAACATTGGACGGTCAGTCCACATATTTCTTATACACACTGCTGTGTACCACCGATAGCTTGATTTGTTAATAAATCTTTTTAAATTACCTACTACACTATGGATATGTCTCTGTCTTGACTCCCTTGGGGAGTATCAATTTTCAGCTACTCATCTCTCTGCTGGGTAAGGAGCGTATGTAAGCTTTAAGGAGAAGTCCACAGGCCACCTGCCAAGGGATCACACAAGAATATCCAGGAGCTCTGGAGGGAGGCTATCATACTGCAGACCTTATCCTGACCAGCTGATGACTCTAAGGGGAATTTATATTGACAAACGCTCATTTTACTGTGCGTTCTGGTGAGTGTGCATTTCTTCAGCACTATTTCGCACAGCGCCTGAGCATCAGGAGGATATGAAATAGAGGAGAGCACTTGAAGTCACCTTATTCTATGAACTGTTTCATCTATTTATTTATTCATTTATTTATTTGATCCATATATTCGTCTTTACATAGCATTCCTTTTCTGTAGCGCTGCATCTTATGATTTATATTGTTTTTGGGGTTTATGGTTACCTGATGTTCAGCTGCTACTTGACATTTACAGGTGCGCTCGTACACAATTTTCTTACTATCACATTTCCATTGTGTTAACCCTTCCCGGCCGAGCTGCAATAATGGTAAAGCTACATTATGTTCAATGACTTCCTTCTATCCATGGAATGTGATTGGTTGTAATATCCACAGGGTAGAACAGTTATTCAGTTGTTTTAAACCTTCTTGTGTTGGACTGCATTGGGCCATGTTTGGATGTGCTTGGCTGCATTGGGTTGCATTGGGCTGTATTGAGCTGCATTGGACTGTGCTGGACTGTGTTGGGATGCATTGAGTTGTGCTGGCCTGCATTGTGCTATGCTGGGCTGCATTGGGTTGTGTTGGGCTTTGTAGGGCTGTGTTGGGTTGGCTTGTGTTGGGCTTTATAGGGCTGTGTTGGGTTGGCTTGTGTTGGGCTGTGTTGGGCTTTGTAGGGCTGTGTTGAGCTGCACTGGGCTGTGGTGGGTTGCATTGGGCTGTATTCAGGTGTGTTGGGCTGTGCTGAGCTGCCTTTTAACTGTGTTGGGTTTTGTAGGGCTGTGCTGCATTTGGTTGTGCTGAGTTGCATTGGGGTGTGTTGTGCTTTGTAGATCTCTGTTGGGTTGCCTTGGAATGTGTTGGGTTGTGAAAGACTGTGTTGGGCTTTGTAGGGCTGTGTTGAGCTGCATTGGGTTGCACTGGGCCATGTTGGGCAGCATTTTGAGGTGCTGGGCTGTGCTGAGCTGCATTGGGCTGTGTTGTGTTGCATTGGGATGTGTTGTGTTGCATTGGGATGCGTTGGGCTTTGTAGGGCTGTGCTGAAGTGCATTGGGATATGTTGTGCTTTGTCGGTCTGTGTTGGGTTGTGTAGGGCTGTGCTGAGTTGCATTGGGTTGTGCTGAGCTTTGTAGGTCTGTGTTGGGTTGCATTGGGAAGTTTTGGGTTGTGTAGGACTGTGTTGGGCTTTGTAGGGCTGTGTTGAGCTGCATTGGGTTGCACTGGGCAATGTTGGGCTGCATTGTGTGGTGCTGGGCTGGATTGGGCTGTGTTGAACTGCATTGGGTTGTGTTGGGCTGTGTTGGACTGCATTGGGTTGTGTTGCATTGCATTGGGTTGTGTTGGACTTTGTTGGACTGCATTGGGTTGTGTTGGGCTGTGTTGGACTGTACTGGGTTGTGTTGGGCTGTGTTGGACTGTATTGAGTTGTGTTGGGCTGTGTTGGACTGCATTGGGTTGTGTAGGGCTGAATTGGGTTGTGTTGGTCTGTGTTGGACTGTATTGGGTTATGTTGGGCAGTGTTGGACTGCATTGGGTTGTGTTGGACTGCATTGGATTGTGTGTTGGGCTGTGTTGGACTGCATTGGGTTGTGGTGGGCTGTGTTGGACTGCATTGGGCTCTGTTTGACTGGATTGGGTTGTGTTGGTCTGTGTTGGTCTGCATTGGGTTGTGTTGGGCTGTGTTGGACTGTATTGAGTTGTGTTGGGCTGTGTTGGACTGCATTGGGTTGTGTAGGGCTGAATTGGGTTGTGTTGTGTAGGACTGTGTTGGGCTTTGTAGGGCTGTGTTGAGCTGCATTGGGTTGCACTGGGCAATGTTGGGCTGCATTGTGTGGTGCTGGGCTGGATTGGGCTGTGTTGAACTGCATTGGGTTGTGTTGGGCTGTGTTGGACTGCATTGGGTTGTGTTGCATTGCATTGGGTTGTGTTGGACTTTGTTGGACTGCATTGGGTTGTGTTGGGCTGTGTTGGACTGTACTGGGTTGTGTTTGGGCTGTGTTGGACTGTATTGAGTTGTGTTGGGCTGTGTTGGACTGCATTGGGTTGTGTAGGGCTGAAGGGCTTGGGTTGTGTTGGTCTGTGTTGGACTGTATTGGGTTATGTTGGGCAGTGTTGGACTGCATTGGGTTGTGTTGGACTGCATTGGATTGTGTTGGGCTGTGTTGGACTGCATTGGGTTGTGGTGGGCTGTGTTGGACTGCATTGGGCTCTGTTTGACTGGATTGGGTTGTGTTGGTCTGTGTTGGTCTGCATTGGGTTGTGTTGGACTGCATTGGATTGTGTTGGGCTTTGTTGGACTGCATTGGGTTGTGTTGGGCTGTGTTGGACTGCATTGGGCTGTGTTGGACTGTGTTGGACTGGATTGTGTTGTGTTGGTCTGTGTTTGGTCTGTATTGGGTTGTGTTGGACTGCATTGGGTTGTGTTGGGCTTTGTTGGGCTGTGTTGCTCAATGCAGGCCTAATGCAACAACAGATTAAAATACATTGATTTCAATGAGCCAAGTTCACACCAGCCTGCTGCACTGATATGCACTGGGTGAAAATAGGACATGTTGAATTTAAATGCAGCTTAAGGCACATATAGTAATTAGTCATTTGGCTCCTGCTGTGAAGAAAAAAGAAAAATGTACATACAGATGTGCCTATATTCCCCCCCCCCCCCCCGATAGTCACATGACCTTCACCATTGTTGCATCCTATCAACATGGTAATCTAGATGGAGATCTCTGTAAGGTCAAAACTTCAAATTTATTGTGAATCTTTCAATGACACCAATCCCGGGAGATCGGGTCTCAAAGATTCCATTAACGTGGCTCTAGTCTCTGGGGAGAGTGAGGCAGAGCTGCGATAATCCTCATTTAACTTGCCGCCATGAAACACAAGTGGTGTCTTCTACATCACCTTGGAAGGAGGAAGCTTTCCCTGCCACATCTCCGTCTCCATCTCTGACGGACTACCCAACCTGGATGACAGATGGTCCTCTTGGAAGCCATGTTTACTAATTAAATTTGACCTCCAGCCTTCTCTTTAGTCTTGCACTGTTGTTGTGGCTTTCTCTCATTTCACTGCACACTGTGAGCTTCTCACAATGTGCATTAGAAGCTGCGGCAAGTCAGATAGAGCTCCACCTCATTTCCTGCCGCCCACTCCTCCAGACTGATATCCACCTATTAGAACATTTTGATATTTGCATAACTCCTCCCAATAGCCAGCCCACTGCTTGCATCAGCAGGGTGCTGCGAGGTTTTCAGGAAGCTATGTACAGCACCCTACCGGCCCCTCCCACCAGCCATGATTTACCTTTATTGCATAGAGAAGAACAGAGATAAGGTATGTAATGAAAACTGGAAGCTTTATTTAAAAGATGAAATGAAAGTTGATAAGGAGGGAGGGGAGAACCAGGAGAGACAAAATATATGCAGATTAAACTACTTTATGGTCCTTAGCTCTACCTGAGAAGACACTTTTCTCTTTGTTGAGTCCAATGTTTGCAAAGTAATTATAAAGATGTAATTAGGGAAACAGATATGCGGCGTGAAGCTCCCTGACCTCGACGGTTTGTGTCTGCCGGCGCCAGAACACAATTTATTTTTCACACTTTATAAACAAGCTGAAAAGTGGAATTTTCTGAGTGCGCCAATTAGGCTTTTCTGTTAAAGAAGGACATCCTCACAATTGCGTTCCTTTATATTTAGACTCATCAGTTCAGGTGACAAGAGCAGGGAAAGCAAATATAATCATGTTTATTAAGGTGGACCCACGTAAAACTTTACAAGTCCTCAGGGATGTATTACTGATAGGTCACAATATATCGCAACAATATCATTTTTCAGAAACATTCCACTTTTATCATTGAAAAGCCATTTTGAAGTCAGTGAGGTTTCCTAGGCTGAGATGTTGTCATCAGTCTGCTGCAGGCAGGAGGAAGCATTTCTGCAGTCTCCTTTCTCCCAGTGATCAGACTGTACATTGTAACTTTGTAGCAAATCACACGGTGAAAGGTTGCAGATCTGTGTCAGACATTTGTGAACACAGCCAATAACTGCAAACACCAGGATTTACAGTATATGACTGTGTCATCTCAGAGCTGGCATCTCAGTCTGGGAAGTAAATGATGCCCTGAACAGATAGATTAGTCCTTCTAGAGAGAAAAGCAGATGAAGGCATTGCCAGGATGAATATTGTGATCTCTCTGAAAGGTAATAAATAACATGAAGTGTTGTGGTGGCCACAGGGGCGGACTGACAACTCATGGGGCCCCTGGGCAATAGGGGATCATGGGGCCCCTGTGTCCTTGCCCAAACTCAAAAAAAGCCTATGAAAAAGGTACCAGGGGCATCTCATTGGGCCCCTTACTGACCCCGGGCCCTCGGGCAGTGCCCGAGTTTCCAAATGGTCAGTCCGCCCCTGGGTGGCCATAGATGGTTGCCAGAGACTTACATCAAAATACAAGTGTCACAGGGTGCAAAGGGATGCATGGAGTCACTTGATGACACATGATACTTTGGGGTGCACTGGAGTCCTAAGGTGCACTGGGGTGCACCCGGGTTACAAGATGACAGTATGCTCAAAGGTCACTAGAGGCATGAGGCACACAGGGATGCATCAGAGTCACAAAATGACACAGGAGTCTTTAGGGTGCACTGGAATCCTGGAGTGCACAGAGGACACAAGAGGCACACAAGAGTCACTAGGTAACACAAGATGCTCTGGGGTCCACTGTTCTCTCCGAAAGGACGGGATGATCTGGGGTCCACTGTTCTCTGTAAAAGGACAGGATGCTCTTTGGTCCACTGTTCTCTCTAAAAGGAAGGGATGCTCTGGGGTCCACTGTTCTCTCTAAAAGGAAGGGATGCTCTGGGGTCCACTGTTCTCTCTAAAAGGATGGGATGCTCTGGGGTCCACTGTTCTGTCTAAAAGGACGGGATGCTCTGGGGTCCACTGTTCTGTCTAAAAGGACGGGATGATCTGGGGTCCACTGTTTTTGTCTATAAGGATAGGATGCTCTGGGGTCCACTGTTCTCTCTAAAATGACGGGATGATCTGGGGTCCACTGTTCTCTCTAAAATGACAGGATGCTCTGGGGGTCCACTGTTCTCTCCAAAAGGATGGGATGCTCTGGGGTCCACTGTTCTGTCTAAAAGGACAGGATGATCTGGGGTCCACTGTTTTTTTCTATAAGGATGGGATGCTCTGGGGTCCACTGTTCTCTCTAAAAGGACGGGATGATCTGGGGTCCACTGTTCTGTCTAAAAGGATGGGATGCTCTGGGGTCCACTGTTCTGTCTAAAAGGATGGGATGCTCTGGGGTCCACTGTTCTCTCTTAAAGGACAGGATGATCTGGGGTCCACTGTTTTTTTCTATAAGGATGGGATGCTCTGGGGTCCACTATTCTGTCTAAAAGGACAGGATGATCTGGGGTCCACTGTTCTGTCTAAAAGGATGGGATGCTCTGGGGTCCACTGTTCTGTCTAAAAGGACGGGATGATCTGGGGTCCACTGTTCTCTCTTAAAGGACAGGATGATCTGGGGTCCACTGTTCTGTCTAAAAGGATGGGATGCTCTGGGGCCCACTGTTTTTTTCTATAAGGATGGGATGCTCTGGGGTCCACTATTCTGTCTAAAAGGATAGGATGCTCTGGGGTCCACTGTTCTCTCTAAAAGGAGGGGATGCTCTGGGGTCCACTGTTCTCTCTAAAAGGAGGGGATTCTCTGGGGTCCACTGTTCTCTCTAAAAGGATGGGATGCTCTGGGGTCCACTGTTCTGTCTAAAAGGACGGGATGATCTGGCGTCCACTATTCTCTTTTAAAGGAGGGGATGATCTGGGGTCCACTGTTTTTGTCTATAAGGATGGGATGCTTTGGGGTCCACTGTTCTGTCTAAAAGGACAGGATGATCTGGGGTCCACTGTTCTGTCTAAAAGGATGGGATGCTCTGGGGTCCACTGTTCTCTTTTAAAGGAGGGGATGATCTGGGGTCCACTGTTTTTGTCTATAAGGATGGGATGCTCTGGGGAGGGGGGCACATGGGGAGCCAGAGAGCATGGGGGAGGGGGGGGGGGGGAGGGCAGAGAGCACAGTGGCCAGAGCACATGAGGATAGAGAATGGGGGGGAAGGGGGCAGAGAGCACAGGGTGCAGCAAAAAGAAGCTAAATAGTAGGAGTGGTGGGGGCTGCTGCATATAGGGGAACCTATCTCTCCATTTTACTCCTGCAGCTGCTGAATGCCTGCAGGAGGGAGAGTAGGAGAAGCAGGCATTCAGTGGCTGCAGGAGGAAAATGGAGCTGCCACAGCCGATCCTCCAATCCAGGTGTAAAGCGGGGCTGCACAGGTCCCCTGCAGCATGGGGCTGGGTTGCAATTGCGACCCCTGCGAACCCTGTAGGTACGCCCCTCAGATGGAGACGGCAAAGTGACAGGAGAAACACAAGTGCTGGATGATGTAGTTTCCAGTAACCTGAACTGGAGATGCCAACCAGAAAGATACAGCAAATTGTTCAGGCAGGTTGTTGGCGAGAAGTCAGCAGGAGAACTAACAGAGGTTAATAGACAACTCTGGCTTGTCGGGGGGTTCAGGATAGCAGAGTTCACCAATGACAATAGCAGGCAGGTAGCAGGACTATATATAAGAGTACACAGTTGAATCTAGATGTAGTTTTAAGCAGGCTCTTGGCAATGGCGTGGAGTAGAATCAGAGGCCAGATCAAGCTGAGCAACAAAAGACAAAGCAGTACCAAATCAGAAGCCAACTCAAGGTCGGAGTCAAGCTGGTTGAACAATAGTATAGAGTAGGTGTCAAAATCAGACCAGGAGGAAGCCAGGTGGGCAACAAGCTGAAGACCAGTCAGCACTGATCCTGAGAACATACCGTAAATAGGCCATCTGGCACTGATACGGACTCTAGGCATCACACATGTCCAGGTGCACCAAAGCATGCCTAGCCAACACTGCAGAGCCATGATCAGAGATTTGCACATGCACAGATGTCCAAGCCTGCTGGCTAGCAGGGATTTACTGATAAGATCAACTATGTCAAAAGGTCCGAATAAAACTCTAAAAAAACTAGTGGTCTGGCACCATCAGTATGTTATTTTTCAGATTATCATTACACTAACATTAACACTTATTTTTCCAGTTCTTGCAGTTGGTAGGAAGTTGACTTGCAAGTTGACTTTCTCTTTAGTCCAGTGGTGGTATCGCCATCATAAAACAGAATGATGGTGCAACCCTTTCTGATGAATTCTTTAAAAAGTACTTGTAGCACCCTCCAAACATAGAATGCTAGGTAAATTTAGTTTGGCTTCTTTTGTAGTAATTGTTTGGCCTGGTCTTCTCAGGGCTTTCACAGGTTGGGAGTTGGATTGCTTCCCCCCTTCCTCTGGAAGAAGCTTCTGTCACGATCGCACAATCGCCGCCACCAACATGCGACAATCACACGACCGCGACGAACAATAATACGCCACGCCCGCGGCGTCCTTCTCACCAACCCATGACCGAAGGACCGGCCGATCTAAAACCGCGGTGTGACACGCGTAACAAGGCCCCACCCAGCTGCACCCTGCACAGCGATTGTCCAGCTAATGGGCTACAATCGGTGCCTGCAGCCTGAATGCGCTTGTTACTGGGTCAGGTTAATTACGCAACTAACCCTCTACTGCCGCCACCACTTTTGTCGGAGACTGGGAAACTCCCGTTATCAAATATACACTATAATGATTGAAAAGTCGCCTGTCCAATACAGTCACCGCAGGCCGATTGGGCAGAGGATTAAACATACACAGTAGCGTCTCTTCAAAGGCAGGAATTCGTGAATTGCGAGTAAGCGCTTAGAAACAGTTTAACACTTTCAGAAAGAAGGATTTATTACTAAAAGAGTCAAACAGGTGCAATAAAATATTTACAAAGAAAATGTAACTAAATATATATATGCATATAAAGGTACAGCAAAGAGATAATAGGAAGGACGTTAAAGGTTTAAGCTACTTGCCAATATGCCTTGGTTTTTAAGCAGATCCAAGTTGCTGAGCAGGAAGGGTCTTTGATCTCCTCTGTTACTATGTTAAGCTCAGGAGATGTGTGCAGCTCTCCTTAGGCTTGTCAGCCTGTGTTTTTAAAAATCCCTCTGCAAGGGGGGGTGGCTCTGAGTCTGCCAATACCCTGTTTTGGGCAGGACATCAGCGGACTCTCAATTAAAACTAACAGCTTCATAATCCATGATATGAAACATAGGTGACAGCTGACCTGAGGAATGTTCATTTCACTCTGTCATCTTTGACTGTTAGGTTTTGTGAGGTTACAACTTCTTTCAAGTCCGGGGAGAAGCTGCCTTATCTGTTTTATGATTGGTGAGCCTACACAAGTTTCTCGGGTCAGTGCTTCCGACTTAGGTGAGGAAAGTTACACTTTCGCAGACTGCCTGGCACCGGACTGAGGATGCCTAACCTGGGTTGACCCCACACCATCTGTCAGGCTATAACGTTTGCCTCTCAGGAAGGGAGGGGGTAGGGAATGAAAGACTGAGGAATACTTCTAAATAAAAAAAAAGGGAACTCTGCGTCCCACTCTAATGAGCAAGTTTGCTACAGCTTCCACAGCTTAGGGCAGGGGATTCAAAACAAACTGCCTGAATATTTATTAGGTTACAGCCAATCCTGGGAGAGGGGTGTCCAGAAGGGGGCTGGAATGGTAATAAATAGCTTGAGACACTGGTGAGCAAGGTTCCTTCTCCGCAGGAGGGTTCCAGAGCTAGAAGAGCTGCTGCCCTCAGGCTGTCTATGGACTATACTGTTGCTCTTGAGGCCTCAATGGTGCCAGGGATGATAGCCTGTACGGACTTTGCCTGGAGTCGATTAAAGAACCTCACCACAAGGGATCTGGTCTGGAGAGGCGCCGTCTCACTCACTGGACCATGTTTGGAGGAAGTTGGGAGGTGGTATCTGTCTTAGGGACTCATGAATGGAGACCCTAATCTGATCTCTGTGACTCTGTAGTGTTCTGGAAGCTGCACAGGCTACTGGCAGTTGTGCGTAGCACAAGGTAACCAGATGCCGAAAAGACTTGCCCCATGGTCTTCACCTGTGAGGCCTTGGACTGTTTAACTCTTACTATTATTCTAGGAGAAGATCGTCCTCTGATCTTTAAGTGCTGAGCATTTTTGACTATCCCATGCCCCGAACCTCCTCTCCTGTTGAAGTTCTCCAAGCAATAAACTACAAAAAGACATCCGTCTTTCGGTTTACACCTACTCACTAGGTAGAGAATAATGGATGAGGATAGCAAAGGCGCATACCAGGTCAGCAATAGCAGCTTCCTATCCTGAGAGGTCCCTTTAAGACAAAGAACACTCTATACCGGGCCACCATCCACCTCTACCAATCAGCATCACCTTTCATTGTCCTCCAACTGGCAGCCCTGGCAGCCCTGGCAGTAGTTGATAGTGGGGGGCTGATGAGGAGTCGGAGGACTGTGCTATGATCACATTGGAGTCTTTTCCTTCTATTGTGTGAAAAACGCCTTAAAAGTTTATGATGAATGAGGTGGGAGCCCTGCAGGGAGTTTGGATTAATTACAGCTATAAGAGAGGAATA